ACTTGTGTTACCTCGTACCTGCAGAAGCGTTATGCAGCCAGAACACCCATCCCATGGCCCAAGTGCCACTTGCGCCGAAGACACTGTAACGCAGCGCTAACTGTCTTTGACCATCCGGCCAGCTACCTCCAAGCTCCAAGCCATCCGGCCGTCCTACGGCGACCCATTCGAGATTGGTGGAGGAGCTCCATCGGCCAGCGACGGGGGACAAATATTTTGCATTCGCGAGAAACACATCCGCGAAGTTCGGCCACAGAGCAGCTGGCAGATGGATTGCGGTTGCGCGACTGCCGGAGCTTTGACTCTTAATATGCTCAGACGTCCCGGTCTGATCACGGCCGGTGACATTGGACATGCTCTGCCAATGTCAGATGACAAAAAGTTCAGACGAAATGTTCCGCCCAAGCGCTCATTGGCGCTTGCTGCCGCCGGCATCGTTCCTCGAAGGCGTGGCGCCGTCGAATAGAGCTCAAGCGATCGGAATGTCCCATGCTCGCGCACGCGTCGGCGTATCACTAAGACAGACGGACTCCGCGAAGGCGGCTACAAATCTACCATACACCATCAGGAAGCCCGAAATAGCAATGGGATCCTCCGCTCGTCCAAAGTTCAAGGTCAAATAACACCTCCATGTCTGCATTTGCCTTTGCACTTGCATTCATGGCATTGGCTGGCCTCATCCCGGCTAGGTGGTCCTTCAAAGAAGAAACCCCCCCGAAGGTTGACGAGGGTCTTGTTGGTATGCTGTTGTTCTCTAACCAACCAAGTGGCTTCGTTTCAAGTGTTCCGAACGGCGAAGCATAGAGTTTGACTTCATCCTGCATGGAAACGAGGGAGATAGCACTCAGAGTCCACAGGCTTTTTTGCTCAATCGAGACAACTCCGCTGTCAGCGCCGAAGCAAAGTCGTGGAGCAACGGAGAGGGGACGGCATTGCGTCGGTGATGCATGACGGTTCGGCTCCGTTTTCCACAATCGGTCTCGTTAAAGGGGTGCGCGAAGTGCGAGAAGGTCAGCACAGTGTTAAGGAATGCGGAAGACTGTCCCTGAGAACTAGTCGGTGTCAGGGCTCCCAGTTGTCTTCAGCAGGATCCGCTTTTACCCCTGAGCGTTGATGCTGATACCTCGCGACTTTCTCAGGAACGTTGCGGCTCAGCCAACCAGCCTCGAGAAGAAGAACGGGGATATGTCAAAGTCAAATCACTCTCATTGGACATTACGCTTGAAACTTGGCCGAATTCGGTCAGGCGAAAGATCGTCGATGGATTTCCTTGTCGGGTTAGAAAGAGAGCCACTACCGCAGCATCTCAAGGCTCAGGGCTTAAGGCTCTCTCATGGAACCAGGGCAGAATCGCCAGACATGGAGCCTGGAGGAAGAGAAAGGGAGGGGTGAGAGTCTGAGAGAGCCTTCGTTGAGGTTCCCCCTGCCTTTTCACGCCTCTCTGGCCCCATGGACCCTCATTCTGCGGATACGTCGTGCCTTTTTCGTCTGATCTTTTCTCTTCCCGCTTCTGGCTCGCGTCTCCAGTCCTAGTCCCCCGGTCCGCCTCCGGCCCCGTTCAACAACAACTGTCAGACAAGAGCCCTGTCGGAGCGCGGCCGTTGTGCAGCGTGCTTCCTCCGCGAAACATCAACCAAGAACCCTGGAGGAAAATCTGTATGAAATACAGATGGTTATCTTCTTTCGCTGCATAAAGGAGAACGGAGGAGGAAGTCTAGCCGTGACCATTGACGACCGACCGTCGCATAGTTCCGTGCGTTGTTGGTGGGAGATCGTGGTTTTGGATGCCCACTCGCCGTTGGCCTCAGATTCAAACAATCTAAACACTTCTGTTACTGACTCAGCCACCGAAGCCGACGACGGTCGTCCGCAAGTACGGCGGGGCCAACTCTGGCTCTGGAATCCATCCATCGCCCTCTTGAGTTGCCAGCCCGCCGCCGCATGTGTCCGGATTTCGCGGTCGCCGGTATGGGCTGCCCATTGCTTCAAAGAATCTGCCCGTCTGGGGTTCATCGCTGCTAGCATCACCGGACGCCGGACGGGGACCCCAATCTCACAGCCTGGCGAATTCGTTCCAGAAGAATCGTCGAACATTGCGAGCCCAAAATCCCTGGCCAACTCCCCTTGGCTTTGCCCCTCCCCCTATCTCGAGCCCTGCAGAGTTAATCCTCGCTTGCCGGGAGCCCTTGAGAGACCGGCTCTTGCTGCTGGACCCTTTATGGATAACACGCAAGATTGCCGCAAGAGGTAGACAAGGCGAGGAATAGGCGAGATGTATCGCTGACATTTCCGCCGCAAAGTCGGTGGCACCAACCCACAGAATCAAACGGTGGCATGGAAATCGGCTACTGGCAGCCAGGCAACACGAGAGCGTGTGACGCTTTACGGATACAGGGTCCATCTATCAGATCTGCTGCTCCGGAAATCCCGTCAGCTGACCATCCGCAGCTACCGAAAAGGCTACAGTCTTCATCAAGCCCGTGTTGTCGATAGTTGGCCAATTTGGCTTGGCTTGACAATGGCGTGCTTCAAAGTCTTTGTCGTTCCTTTGTTTCCACACTACGAAACGCTCATGGCTGTCAAACTGTCAGTTGCCATCGATACCGTCCCAAAAGTCTGGTTCTGCTTCCGCAGCTACGTCCGAAGGTCCAGAGCTTTCGTGTCGCTTGCAAATGCATTCAGCTCCATGTCCACCACTGACAGAGCATAATTACTCCGCAAACGTTGACCAATGGGCATGTTGCTGAAGCCGGGGCTCCGCCGAGGCATGAATGATCATCGCGACGCTGCGACAACACATCGGGAAGCGCGCCTTGACGCGTTGCCATTGCTTACTCCAATTGCATTGTTTTGAAGCCTCATGGGCAAGATGGTGCATGCCCACTGCGCATTTTACGATTGTCTACTTCCCATTACATGAGAGATACCGTGCAAAGAGGCTTATCGACGCTACCGACTGTGAGGCAGAGCTCGAGATCCCACAGCATCGCACCAGTAAGCTCGGACGATTATGTATTCTCCTCGATCGACTTGGCTACAGCCTACCTGCACGAAATGCTCTCTTTACTGGCATATAATCGACCACAGGTTACCAACGATCACAAATGCAGCGTCTAGCGAAGCCCCCAACAGCGCAGCAGGGTACCCAAAACTACCGTGATACCGGGCCAAGCATTCCCAATCGAGTTTGCTGAAACTTAGCAGGTTATCGCTTCCTCGACAAGCATTACAGGCATCGCTGAGAAATTTCCGATTGAGCCTAGCTTCCCCGCCGGCAGAGGAGGGAGGATTCGTGAAGGAAAGAAAAATGACCACCAGTCATGCGACGCCAGTCTCCAGCGCGCTCGCGCAGCTCCGCCGCATTGTTTGGCGATGCGCGGCAGAACATTCTATTGCTACAAAGACCTGCGTGCTCGGGCCTCTAGAGGGGACAGGAGTGAGGAGGGGAACCACGTCGGCATGAACCAAACTGTGGGCCGTATGGAGAGGCTGTGCCGGACTTGTCCCTGCTCGTCGTCTGTCTGCGACGTCGACGTCGTGCATCTGTACGAGATCGCACAAGGGCTTGCAAGAGGATCGACGCTAGCGTTCGTCTGATGTTCTCTCCGGCCCTCACCGAGACGGGTCCCCTGGCCGGCATCCCGCTGACACCTGCTTGACCCCGAGACGGGACTTGACCGTCGAATTGTTCGGATCAATCTATTCTCCCGGGTTGATCCAGCTTCTCGGCGATTGACAAGACCTACCGAGGGCTTCTTTTTCATGACTCGGTATAGGTAAACTCAAGCGCGGAGCGTCCCCGAAGCATAACCCAAGTAACGAACGACCTTTGGCACTATGGACTGACTGCCTACGCTAGCCTTGCCGCATGATACTAACGGATTTCCTGCTTCGTTCGCCCGCCGTCCGAACTGCTCGATTCGAGTGGGTTCACTTTATATTTTCAAGCCGTCTAAAGCAAACCTATATGTCTGCTTAACCACGCCCTCGGTTTTCCCTGGCCCAAAACGGGTCAGCTTGCGCAAGATATTGTAACGGGACTGTCTCCGCACTAAAAAGCAACACTCTATGCATGCCACGCGGCGTGTCGAAGACTGGAAGGAATAGGAGACGCTTGGGGATTCTCGGAATATGCCAACTTGGGCATACACAGCCGGGGCAGTATTTTGCTAGAAACCCCAGGATCTACGTCTTTCGGATAGTTTTCACTTTGTCTGCTTACGGGAGATCGGCATGAAGCCACATTTCTGGAGACTTTACTCTGTGTGGTGCCCCTTTTGGATGTAATGGCTGACGTTCGTTGTTGCTCCATATTGTTTTCATCATGGTCACTAGCAACTCCACGGGCTACGGCTCAACACCACGACGAATGCCTCCAGGCAGGCTTTTGGCTAGTTGGCTGAAGATGGACGTTGCGAGGTCCCACGACAGGGAGAAATTTGAGTGGATGGCGACAGTTGGAGAGTGCAGAAGGAACATATGGTTGGCTGCATATCGAGCCTCTCGGGTTGTGTAGATCTGGTGCCGTTTTCATACATGGGCCGGTTTGCTTCGCCTTATGGATCAATAAGCCCATCTGGGATGTTCAGACGTATAAGAGCTGCGTTACAGAGGGAGGGACGAGTACTCACACATGTGAGTTTATGGTTCCCATGAGATCAGGGGCTGTGAGGACTGCGATTGCCTTTGTGGCATCTTCATACTACGTTGTAAGTGGTCGACTCTGACGCCAATTGCTTTGCATGTCAGTACCCAGCTGAATGACCGCTTGCGTCTGTCACACTGCTTCAGGTATACTATTTGCTCAGTTGCATGAGCCGGAGGATTATCATAACTCGCTGAACATCGGAATCATCAGCGCATTATCTACAGAACCTTGAGGTAGGTAGATTGAGTTATGAGAGGCTGGGCTTACAGCCTGACGGTGGTGAGGCATCACTAGAGGAAAGGAGTTCTCCAAAGTCGAATTATCCTGCTTCATATATCGATTTTCTCGCAGTCTTCTCTTCGTATCTTTGGACCTGACGTTCCTAGGTATGCATGTCATTACGCCACCATTTCCATCTCAAGTGATGACGGAAGCTGGCATCCCTGGCCTGAAAGGTGGATTCTGCTGCCCTTTGACCTTCAATCCGATGAGGGTCTCCCTCGCTCTCTTCTCTGTATAGAATATAGAAAGGTCATGACCTTTGGTTCCCGGACAGCCTCAAGCGCGAAGTGTCTGTCGACAAGATTTCTGGGTGACAGGACTACGGGTGTTCAAGGTTCCAACCAGTTGTTTTCTCTTCTTTTCCGTCACTGTTTCTGTTCAAGGGAAACAGATCATTGGTCCTCCAAATTGCTCGCGAAAGAAAGCCCGCTCCCAGAGCAAGCCGACCAGCACCCCATTTCTCAAATACCGCTTCCATCTCAGAGGTTGTTTCCTCTCGTGTTTTGTTTCCAGTGACGTGAAGTCTGCACAGCTGAGGTGATTACACGACTGACCGACGTCAATGGCCCAACCCCCATAACCAGACCAGATCGGAGGAGCCGGAAGCGCATTTCTCTCCAGCCCACCCCTTTCAAAGCTCCTTCATCACCTCCCCAACAGCCTTCTTCGCCATCCTCCGCCTCTGGTCCTCTGGCAGACCCGCGCTGAGGTCCCGGACAGCCTGCAACTTGCGCATCATCTGCTCAATCTTTTCCACGTCCTCGGCGTCCAGGTCCTCTTTTTCGGCGTCCTCGGCCTGTTTCTTTTGCTTCTTCGCGTCTGGGTTATCGGTGGTAGCGGCGCCTCCTGCGGTCTCACTCGTTGCTTTTGCCGTGTCCGCTGCTCCCCCTTCTACTACTTCATCCTCATCCTCCGGCTCCTGCTCGAGATTCCAAATCGCCTTCTTCAACCCTTCGAAATCCGCTCTGTCGAAGCCGAAATCTAGGTTCTCTGGGTCGTCGAGGTCGAAATCGTCGTCGTCGTTGCCGATGCCGCCTGCTAGAGGTCTGGGTTTCCTGGGTAAATCACCGGCGGCGGCGTCGAGGTCCGAGTCGAGGTCTGATGGGCCGTCCATGTCGTCTGCGGCGTCCCAGTCGTTGGACTCGAGGGCCTCGAGGACTCTTGCTATGCCCATTTTCTCTGGGAAAGGGGTGTCAGCGTGGAGGGGCCTTTAATGTTGTGCCGAATAGGGGTAGGTTCCGGGACAAAGGTGCTCTGCTCTCCCACGGCCCCTTCTTCTCAAAACGGCCCTCGACTGTTAAAGCAAGGCTCAAGGGTATGAACCGCAGACTGAATGGCCCGAAGCGAGAGGGAGAGCCAAAAAGCAGAAACGGAAAAGAAGAGGCAAGAAAGGCAATGTGAAATACGAACCTCCAAACTCGTTCCGGCCATCGTCCTTCTTTCCCCCACGAACCTGAACGAACTCGAGTCCCCATTCAGCGCAGAGATCCTCCCACTCGTCCGCCATCTCGTCCCCGACGCCGATGCCCAGCCCGACGCCGTCCCATCCCCACCCGCCGAGCCCTTCGCGAACGACCCTCCCGACCTCTGTGATGAGCGCGCGGGTGTCCTCTACCGAAGGCGGGGGACTCGATGCCGGTGCTAGTGCTGGCGTGGCAGTGACGGCGACATCTGCTGGTGCAGGGGCCGATGTCGAAGACGATGATGAAGAAGAAGAAGAAGGCAGGGCAAAAACAACAGCCAACCCGCCCAACACCGTGAGAACCTCCTTGGCCTCGGGCGAGAGAAAGGAGGCGGACCACTCGACCGGGGCGTCGACGAGGTCCAGCCAGATGGGCACGTCGGCGGTGTAGTAGCTCGTCTTGATGGGGAGGATGTGCGTTGTGCCCGCGAGGGTTGTGGATGCCGGTTCTGGGTGAGTGCCCGTGAGGTCTATATCCCCGCGTCAGTGATGCTTCTTTGTTCCGGTAGAGATTTTGAATGAGAGGATGTGTGAGAGTGTGATGTGGTGAGTTTCGGTGAGATTTTCTTTTGGGAATGACATGGCCGTTGGATTTTCTCATGTGATGCGGGTGTATTCCCGTTTCATCTCATGGCAAGAGTGAAATGGATGGGATAAAGAGCTTCTGTTCAAGGATGAAATGTCATGTCCAGATGTCAAGGCCTGAGTAGAGAAACAGGTGGGAGAGAGAGAGTCTCGCGTCACAAACCTTTAATGACTCTACTCAAATGCTGCGTCGAGTCCGCAAGCGAGACCGCCAACACCCGGCGCGGATTCTTGACTTCCATAACTCTGTCACCTTTCCTTCTTTCCTCGATGTTGTTCGTGAATCTGCGATTCGGCGTTCTTGTTATTGAAGAAGTTGGACGTTGAACGACACGACGTTGGTGAACAACTTGGCGGGCTTTATGAGTGTGTGAGCTCTTGAACGGTCCGGCGCAATGAGATTGACTGAGGTGAGGTGGGATGGGATGGCGGGGCACACAACAAAACGGCGGGGTTCCGTCGGCGCAGGGTCTAGATTACCTAACTCTGTGCGGACGGTCCGTACTCGTCCAATTGGTGTACCAAAATCTTTGGTCGCCCGTGCCGTCCGGACGGAGCTAGACCCTAACGATGCTCGAGCGTGCTTACCTTACACGAAGCGGAAGGGGGTCCAGTCCGCTTGTGAGACATGGGACGGAAGCTTCGGGTGCAACATGATGTTTCCCTCCTCCTCCTTCTTTTTCCCACTGACTTGATTTTCTCTTTTGCTTCTGCACATATCTCCATGGCTATTCCTTTTCACGGATACAGTCAACACGTCACTCTATGCACTGCTATTAAAACTCCGATGTAATAGCAATTCTTGATTGGGTACTACGTATGTATATATATATATATCATGCTGTGCTTTTCGCAAGTACTCTGAACCCTCGCTACCTATGCCAAAACAGTGGTATTCCCGAACCAAAAGGGCAAAGAAAGAATCATGATGCGTCACAGTCTGGGAATCATTACGAGGCAATGCAGGAAAAGAAAAAAACAAGAAAGCAAAACACCCACACCTCCAGCCTTGAGCAAATGGAAAACAACAGGAAAACGAGCAAAGCGACCCATCCGAGCAAACGAAACCAATACCCAGTGAACGAAACAGCCAAGGAAAGAGGTAATCAAAAAGCATGCTGTGCTCGACCAAGACCAAAGATCAGCGATCCTCTCCCCATCCAAAGTGCCGGTTGACAACATTCATGGCACTCACGCCAGCCCTCACGAGCCCTCTCGTCGTCTCCTGATCGATCCCCGCGAGGACGTCTTCGAAGCTCGTGTCCTGTCTCCCCTCGGCATCTCGCAGGTCGCGCTGGTCCAGCTCGCCCTGCCTCCTCTCCAGCACGGCCTTGGAGATGGCCCGCGCCCACATGTTGTACAGGTCCGCCTCGGACAGGCTGACGTACTCTCTTCCGCGCGCCGCACCCGTCTGGGGATCTCTGCGGCGCCTGGAAAACGCCCACTCGGCCTCGACGACCTCGAAGCGCTTGGTGCGGAAGAAGAGATAGGGCCACGCAAAGATCCAGAGGAAGGTCAGATAGAAAAGCCAGCGGATCCAGGTGGTCTGACGCCAGCGGTTCACGCGGCACGTGTTGTAAATCTCGACCGTGCTGTCGTGGACGGGGAAGGAGACGTCGATGCGGCCGCGATAGTTGGTGGCGCGGACGAGGTCCTCGAGACGGGCCTTGAGGCGCTCGTCGTCGTCGAACCCTGGTACGGTGCGCAGGAGTGAAAAGGTCTTGAGGCCCGCGTGCGAGGCGCAGTAGCGGTGGCACCACTCCCGCAGCGTGGGCGGCTCCTTGCTCACCTCCTCGCCGGCGGCGCCGCCTCGAGCACCCGAAGACCTGCCGCCGAAGCCTGGGGCACGTGTGGGGAAGACGGTACCGCGGCGGACCTTTGAAAAGTTGTCTGCGGTGCGGAGCTCGCGCCAGGAGCGGCGGGTGGCGATGTCGCGGTAGAGGTAGGGGGTGAGCTCGACGCGGACGTCAAAGTCGACGACGGTCTTGCTCTCCGTCTTGTCGTCGCGCTTGCGGATGCTCTCGGTGTGGGTGCCGCGGACGCTCAGGTAGGGCCTCGGTGGCGACTGGGCGAGAGATGTGATGTGGGATTCGAGGAAGGCCGGGTCGGTATCGAGGCGGCGTGAGCAGTGGATTTCGGCACCGGTTTCGGGGTCCCTGCGGAAGAGGAGCGGGGAGTGGCCGGACTCGTCTGCCAGGAGCGGGGTCACGGTGGTGGTTATGTTGTGTTTGGGGTCGAGCGATGAGGGCTCATCGGTGTAGGACGGGGGCAAGTCGCCGGCATTGGAAGACGAGGCTGTGGCGATGTCGTCGTAGTAGGGATCGTTTGTGTGGAGGGAGAAGGCGTCGGAGGGTTGGTTGAGACGGAGAGGCGGTGGGTTGGCGGCGGCGGCAGAGGAAACATTGTCCTTCTTGGAGTCTGGTTCGTAGGGTGACAGATCGGGAGAGAAGGCGCCCGGCATCGACATCTTGAGGGAATGATGCTGTGGTGTGGTCGTCGGGGAAGAATAGGTAGGTCGACGATTTTCGATATGAGATGCCTGGTGAATGGTCTCGATGGTAGGATTGATGCGGGAGACCAAGGCGTAGACAAATGCTCCAACAGCAGCAAAGACGAAAACAACAACAGCCCAGCAAGGTAACAAGGAGAAAAAAAAAACGAGAGTCGTGAGGGGATGGGAAAGACAGAAAGGAATGGTGGTGTGTTGCCGACGGCCGTATGCGTTCCTGGGCACCTGGGTAGGCAGTCAGACGCACCAGGGATAATTGCCCTTGGCTTTTGGGTGGTGGTGGTGGTGGTGGTGGTGGTGGTGGTTATTTTGGCTTTCCGGTGGACAAGCGTGACAGGCACGACAAGGTTCCAGGCCCCGAATTCTGCATCCCAAAGTCTTGGCCCTCCTTTGGCCACCCAAGGGACCCCTCAGTCTACACCACGGCTGGGACTGGACTGTCAGCTCAAGTCGCCGGTCTTCTTTCCCCAGGGGAGGGGAGGGGCCACTACGCTGCGGCAAGACTGTCATTGGGTGGGAAATTCGCTTTCGACGCCCCAAACTTCCCATTAGGTACCTAGGTATGCCCGGGGACGCCCACGCCCACGCCTACGCCGCCCTTTCGTGCCGGTGCCGCTGTGCCACACAGCCCACCACCAGACCAGACTTTCCCATTCAAAGCGGGGATTGACCCGAACGGCGTCGAGACAAATCGTCCCACCCACTCCTCCCAACTGGTGAGTCGTGACTGCCATTGAGGCCAGTGAGACGTCGCCCGTGCCACGCGGTTCAATGCGATGAACCTGGCAAACTGGCGACTCATTCAGCTCAAAGAAAAAGCGTCAGCTGCACGTCGCGTCTTTTTGATTTTTTTGCGGTCGCATGTTTTTAGTTCGGATAGACCCTTTTTTTTTAAAAAAAATTCCCAATCACTTGGTAGACTTGCCGTAGATGTGCCGATGAATATGTCCAGTGTAGGTTTTGGCTTTCACTTGGCACTCTCTACATTGCAAAACATGGCCATCCACCACCCAAGGTATAGCCATGCATGGCCACAGTATTGAACTTGGGCTCGCGACACTGGATCTCGTACATTCACCCGAATCTGAATCTCAGCTGGGGCCAGTGTTACGTTGAACGCAGTGTCCTGATACCGATGCTACCTGGCGAACTTTCTTCGGACGACCACTTTTGATGTTCCAGCCTGCCCAGAAAATACCCGAAACTACCATCCTAGTCCAGCAGCACATAGTAGCCTGAGAGATGCAAAAGTTAGTTACAGGGTAAGAAGCCGAGGATTCAAATCATGGCTTGATTCTGAATTTTAGGTTCTCTCAAAGCATCTCCTTTGGCCTACGGGTAGCTCACAGGCCAATCAAAGTCAGCCAGTCCAAGGTATCCGTAGATCGACTATAAAATGCAACCGTTCGTGTTCGACTGCAACAGCTCCTCCGCGGTCTCGACTCTCTGATCGAATAGGCAGCAGGGTCTCTCGTCAACGGCCAGAGTCATCTCCAAGCAATCGTAACGATCTCCGTCATGGCTTCCAACTCAACTTAACGAGCACGGAATGCAAGATGGAGTACTAAATGGTAACACGCAAGCGGCCATTTAGTTATCTCTTTTCTTCGGGGTCGTGGGGAGAGAAAAAAGGAAGAAAGAAATGTCATTCTTGTATCTCGAATTGTGGCGTTCTTACTTGGCTGCGATTGGCCCTTGCGCTAGGAGCATACAATGTGACAGGATCGCCCTCATCAGACCGTTATGTTTAACCGTTAGGCAGCGCCGACTTCCGCCGATTCTGACGACAACTCTTGAGCAAGTGCAGCTATGGCATTCGTATAAGAACTCACTGGAGTACTGCAAGAGGAGGACCTCCAAACATGTAACATTTTTAATTGAGCATCATCTTCCTTTCCTGCTCCTCTCTATAACGCATTCTCTCTAGACTCCTGACAAGACCAAATACCACCAAAATCTCTATCCACCAAGCTCTCGTCCACCCAAACAAGAATTGAGTCTCAGCTACCTAGTTGAAAGAAACATGGCCTCATCACGCGCCTGGACATTCACCAACCGCGGCACCCCCCGCTCCGTCCTCTCCCTCGTCTCCAGACCAGCCCCAACCCTCCCACCAACCGCCCAACTCCTCGCAAAAGCCAAACCCGTCCCCGGCGCCGCCGACGGCAACCAATGGCTCCTCGTAAAAGTCGCACACGCGGCCCTGAACCCGGGCGGGCACCTCTACATCACCAAGCTACCCGGCGCCGTGCGCGCAAAGACGGCGGTGCCGGATTGGGACCTAAGCGGGACCGTAACGGATGTGTGGAGCCCCGACTCCGGATCCGGGTCCGGTTTAAATATGGATACCTCATCGGCTCTCAACGCCGAACCCAGCACAACCGCAGCAGTCAACAAAAGCACCTCCCGCTCCTTCACACAAGGCGACCGCGTCGCAGCCTTCCTCCCCATATCCTACGCCTGGCCAACCGGCACCGGCGCCCTGGCAGAACACGTCCTCCTGCCCGCCCGCTACGCCGTCCCCGTCCCCTCCCACGTCTCCCTCCGCGACGCGAGCTGCGTCATGACGGCAGGCTGCACCGCCGCCGTGACCGTCCGCGCGACGGGCCTCAAGCGAGGCGACAAGGTCCTCGTCAACGGCGCCAGCGGCGGCATCGGGTCTCTGGCCGTGCAGATGGCGCGCGCCATCGTCGGGCGGGAGGGCCGCGTCGTCGGCGTCTGTTCGGGGCGGAACGCGGAGACGGTGTTGGGGCTCGGCGCCGACGAGGTCGTGGATTATAATGCGAGTCTTCCGGTGCCCGTCTCAAAGGTGCTGGGGGAGAGGTTCGGGGCTGAGGGGAGAAGGTTTGATGCTGTTGTTGATTGTGTTGGGGTGCAGGATGTGTATGTGCACTGCGCGGGGTATCTGAAGCCCGAGGGCGTGTACTCTGCGGTGGGGATCAAGCCGGCTGACCAGTCCGTCGGGGCTCTCGTCAAGGCGGGATGGCAGATGCAGATGAATGCGCTGTGGCCGCGTTCGACTTGGTTGGGCGGCACGGGGAGGCGGTGGGCTGCGACGGCCATGATGGATCCTGGGAAGGTCTTGATGGAGGAGGTTGTTGCTATGCTGGCGGATGGGAGAATCAAGGCCGTCGTGGAGAGAGAGGTCGGGTTTGAGGAGGCTGTGGACGGGTATGACATTGTTGGTAGTGGAAGGGCACGGGGGAAGGTTGTTGTTAATGTCGGTGGACAGTAATTCAGCTCGTGGAGAATCAGTGTTGTTTTAGAGGTGCCGCTGTTTGTCAAATCTTTGGAAGCATTATCTCCATTGGATACATAGATCCCTATTTAGACTTCGTCTCATGCTGAGCTCTTCTATAAATCGATCAGACCGTCAAAGTATGATGCCAGTCTCCAGTATGGTATGTATTTTTGACTCTTCCTCTTCGATGAGCACAGCGCCCTTCGATGACAGCTCGCCCTCTCGTATGTTTCTCCAAGCCGTCTAGCATGTCTATATGCCGGAAACTCAACCTTCAGCACACGAGCTCCTGCGCATGTCTATAGTCGAAAGCCACCACAACGGCCTTTGCATACGAAAGAGCAGCAGCCAAAACCTAAGAATATCAGTACGTCTCTCAAGCGGTATTATACCTGGACAACTCCAGAGGGGAAGATCTCAACCTACGAAGATATGCATCAACTGATGACTGGCCCCAAGCAAATCAAACGTCCTCGGGAACCACCTCTCCGGGAACTGACCCAAGAACAATTAGCAAAGTCTCCCATGACCGAAAGCACCAAGTTCATCAGCCAAACTCCCCTCAAGGAATTCAAAGCAGAAGGCCACGAAAAAAACAACAATGATAACCCACCTTGGCCCAGTACACAAAAACAGCAACACAATTCCACCCAGCCGTCCCCAAAACCCACCACCCACCAACCCTATCCCACACCTCCCGTGCCCCGTCACCACCGCTGTCCGCCGCTGCCGCTGCCGCTACCACCATCCCGTGCCCTATGGGCATCACAAACGCCGCGAGCCCAAATGCAGCAAACAACACGGCGCGGTGGTGTCCCAAGTCCACGGCGCCCAGATCCGGCCTCGCCGTCGCCGCGGCGCAGAGGGCGGCCAGCAGGCCCGTCAGACCGACGTAAGCGTCCCGCGTTGCGGGCGAGCAGGGGAACACGTTATGCGCTAGGGGGAAGACGGAGGACCACATTAGGGCGAGGACGCCGTGGAAGTCAGCTTTGATACCGGAGAGGTAGATGTCTTTACTGTGTGACATGAGGGTGTGGAAGCTTGAAGGGGCGTCAGCTTTGTTACATACATCTGGACATCTCGGAATAGAGGAGACGGAAGTAATTAAAGTTGATAACGAAAGTGAACTTACGCCGTGGAAAGGACGAAACATGTGGTTACCCCGATGGCGTAGGCCGTGCAGACGACCACGTCTGCGGTTGAGGCGATGCTCCATCTGGCTGGTATTCCATCGCTGAAGACGTAGAATGGCAGCAGAACGAAGATGATGGCCCCTATTACATGAGAGTAGATGTTGACTGTTCTCGCTATCAGATTGTGATATTTTACCAGACTGATGCTGGACTTTCAACTCACCCGACTCATTGTGCGCATAGGTCCAACTCGCGAAACAGCGTGCCACGGAGCCACAAGCTGGTCTATCTCATTCTCCATTAGCAATTCATCAAGAAAACATCACTCTTATTCAGAAATACTCACCGATATCCAGTCTTGATATGATCGCTCCCACATCTTGACTCAATTAGTTGCTTGTCCTACGGCCACCACAACGAAACAACTCACTGTTGCCACTCCGCTACGCACTTGAGCGTTAACTCTTCAACTCAAAAGCAGGAAAAATTTCATAAGATAGTCTAGTCAACTCACGTAATTCCTCCCACGAGAGTAGCGAGGCCGCAGCCTTGGCAACCTGTTCTTCCGCCTCCTGACTCGGCCCGCTCCAACTCCATAGCCGCCTCCCGGGCGAGTCGTTGTCGATGGCCGTCCTCAGCCTGCGTCTCAACGCCGATGTGGATAGGAGTGCTGCCATTGCGAAGCGCGGCTATCCCACCTCTCTCCTTTCTTTTCCGCGAGCGGGCGTTCTTTAGAGCGCAGCCTCGATGGTTGAATAGAGTGCAATGTGTGTACTCGCGAGTAAAACAGTCTTCCCCCAACCTTTCCAACGCTGTTATAGAACAATCGAATATAGGCTGAGTAAGTGCTACGACCAAACTTCCAATCAAAGAGGTTTCGAAACGGCTATAATGTAACCTGAAAGCCGCGAGTGGAATACCGCAGTAACCAAACTATACTCACGTGAAGCATCAACGCATCAAACGAAACCGAAAAAAAAGTCCCATCAACCATTGAAGTCGACAGAAACTCCCATCGTGAATTCCCTTCAATGCCATGAACCTGCCTTTACTGCCGCCCTACCCACCAAACAGGTGTACCAAAACAAGAAAAGCCCACCGACTCGAAACCGCGCCCCGGAAGCGCGCCGATCCGGTGCGTCCCGTGCATCGGACCACCGCTAATTGCGACGACGCTGATGCACGCCCATGAATAATGGCAATGGGCATCCCGTAAACCCATCCAATTGAGAGAAGCGTTACCAAGGAAATACGCTAGGAGAAAAAAGGTGAGCATAGAGCAGAGAAGGAATCGTGCTGGAACTCTGGGAGAGGGGGAAAATGTGCGTTAATGCAAGGTTGGACCCTGAATTGAGGCAAGCATTGTGGTTCGTTGCCGCTAACTAGGCACAACTCACTAAGCTGGTGTCGGAGATATTCTGGCATTTGACTTTGGAGTCGGATTGAATAGATATTTAGCCAATAGAACTACGTGGACGTTTTGATGTTTTAATACAGAGACTTCCCTGAACTAGTAGACTGAACGAGACCAACGCCGCTAGCCCGGTTGGCGGAGTGTGTTTGAGAGGTCTGACCACGAATTTAGCATCTAAACGTATTTGATTTTGGGAACGTTAGACAGGTAGAGGATATCTAGGGTAGTTTCCACGAGCGGAACGTGGTGGACTATGAGACCTGATGTTGATGGAAACCCCGAGGCTGAAGACAGTTCGAGAATGAGGATGGGATGACCACCCTAGGCCTTTTTTATATATCTGAACCACGGCATTGCAGCCTATAACACACTATAGGAACAGAAACTAAAGCTCGATCCCGGTTGATCGGAATAATTCAATTCGGTCGGGCTCTCCTGCAAGTGGAACGAATTGACAATGGCATCGGCAGTGACTTTGAGTCGTCGATTTTGTCTTCACAATTTCTGGACGCGACCACGCAAAGTATATTTCTCTACCCAGAAAAGTCAAACATCAACTCGTACTAGAAAGTCAATCACCGAGCCAGAAGACGTAGGGGCATACACGACAACATTCCCTCCGCCTACCTTGTCGTCAAAACAGCTAATCCGACCGTAAAGCCAACATCATACTGCTTTCTCGTCACAGTCTTGCACTTTCTGCAAAACCAACACGTCATGTTCGAAGCGTGAGCTATTAAACACAAGGCCAAATGTCAGAATCCCTATCTGGCTCCCATCAGATCTAGCCGATACTCACGGCAAAGCGCGTGGTCCCTTCGGATTCTCGTTCACCATCGAACACACGGGACCGTCTGCAAAGCCGGCTGGTTGCCTCTGCCCACCAAAATCAATCCAGGACATAGTATAAAAGGTCAGAGATGGTACCTAGCCCGTCTTCTTCTCCTCAACAGGGACATCAAACTCAGCCCATTCCTTCTCCCACTGTCTTCTTCATAGAGGAGACGTGGCGAGCAAAGATGCCATCTCTCTGAGCTACTAAAGTCACGAGACCGAAGTGAGAATTCGCAGGCTTCATCCTAAAGCGAGATTTCCTCAGCAACCTCCCGTGTTTGCCCGCCACTTCCAACATTCAAGTATTCCGTCAAGTATGGCCACTTGGAAATGACGGAATACCGAGAAGAGACATTAACCCGATTCAAGCTCCGTCCTCGGAATCCTCTGAAAAGAAATGCCTGGCCCTGGACTAAGACTGCAACTATATTAGCGGCGCACAATGCCAGAGAGAACATACACGTTCAATCCTGCGGTTCCTTATCGAAGCTGTGAGCCGCCATTAGCGGGGAACTATTTATATGGCAGACGAGGAGCATGTATCCTTTTGCTGAGGATTAGTCCACATTGCTAGAGGCTTCTCAATGACAGGACCGTATGTCTGCCTCTGATGAATAGTCCATACCGGTGTAAGACAAAAATGTCGTCTGTTGCCTCCTTTGCTACGTCACCAGAACATCGAAAGCGACGCATATCATATGGCGATCATGGTCGCCTATGGCATTCATGTGGCGTCTTCTCCCTAAATCAGAAATATACATTCATGGACGGCCCGCTGGAGAATACATGCCCCGACGGGTCATAGTGTGTCTTGCACTGGAGTACGTCCAGTCCTTTCCGCAGCTGCAAAGCATCCATCGGACGGTGGCACCGGAATCGAAGAAAATGGGCCATCCGCGAGTGCACGTTGACACACCCGCTGAACTGCAAACAGGAAGCTCTGCCTTGGTCCCGAGAGACCGAAGCGTCAGCTCCTTTGCGTACAAAGGGCTATAATATCAGCTCTGTATCCTCGCGCCTTGGCAGTCAATGTGCCCTTCCAGGTGCTTTCCTCAGAGCGAGACTAATACCAGTGATAGAACTCAGGCATCGTCGTGGACGAAGGCAGCCATATGCGCCGGATCGAGAACCACTCACATGAGACGAATGTCACCAGCCATTCTAGAGCACGCTTGCGCGTCTTCTTACCTCTTGCTCCCTTTCAGCCATTGGCACCGAAAGGCTTCACATGTTTCTGGAAGCCTTCGTTCTCCTCATCAACTCCTCGAAAACGTTGACGTGGGCTGTCAGCCACCACCCGAACAAAGGAGCAATGTCCGAACCCAGGCTTCCCGTCAAGCCCCTCTCGTCGTTATTGGCATCCGGCACTCTGGGAGCCGCCGCCTCGCAAAGATGCTACCGGTCGGGCCAAGCCTCGTGCAACGTCGGATCCTCGAAATCTCAAAAGCGTGCCCGTAACCGTACATCCTTCTCTCGATCTTGGTACGGGTCGGCCGACTCCCAGCGCCAGCACTTGAGCGAGACATTCCGCGTGCAACGTTCCCCGAAATCGCACTCCGTCCTGACTCGCCATCGGGCCGGTGTTGCATGGCGCTCATTTACACTGCGACTCAAGCAGCAGGTTTTTGCCAACCCCCCCAACAGAGTGCCAACTCCGGGTTTCTGGGTTCTGAGTAGTGACGAGAGTAAGCTTACGTGCAGGGTGCGCCTGAAGCTCAGTGGTCGCCGTGGTCTGTGGAGAGGGTGCGTAATTAACTTGTCGGAGGAGACTGCAACCTCGAGACCTCGCGATCGTCCTCGCTTCGAGGTGGATATAGCTTGTTGACCCGCTACACCACGTTGCCCCTCCGCACGAGGATCATCAATTAGCACGTCGGAACGAGAGACGGGCTTTTTCGAGACGCTACCCTGTCGATCCCAGTTCTCGCCGTGGCCTACGGACTGATGCATTCTCCAGACAGAACTTTGGTCAACGACTCGTTTCCTGTTTCCTTGGAGCGATACAAACCAAATGGCTGGGATAGCTTCTAATCACCGCTTGATGATGTGTAACAACCCTAGCTCATGTCTCAGACATGTCATCTAGTGCGACCAGCTGCTGTGGGATCACCCAGGGCGAGAATCCCATAATGGGGGTTTCCGTGATCTGGAAGCCAGTCGACCTGCCTCGGAGGGCTTCGTGGGCGTGCACACAGGAACGGACCGCTCAAATGATGAGCAAAAGGCGAAAGTCCCCCCAGTTCTTCATGATCCTCAGCGCAAGGTACGAGTCAATATCCCCGTCTCTCCACGATTCGAAAGAATACGATGCCCCCAATGCTACTTGAAAGTGGCTAGTGCTGAGGCGGCTTGTGCTCATTGGCAAGGGTGCGGTCGGCAGTGTCAGAGTGTATTACAGATCGCTTTCGTAGGGTTTGTGAGACACTGTGGGCGTGGGACAATGCTCAGCGATCCCGTCTACGGTCTGACGGGTGCTGTATCCGGAATATGAAGACGAATTCATCTCTCTGATGCAAGACACTATTTGTATCTGCCGCCGAGGAGAGAGTGTAAGAGTGTGCCAGCGCAGGCTCGTTATTGGCACGTTTCACTGCGCACCTATGCTATGAAGGCAGCTGTAAAAATATGCCTGATGAACTGGGAGTCCGAGGCACTCAAGTCCCTAACCGACTGAAGCTATTGGCGCATATCGCAAGCCACACGAGAATCTCAATGTTGATCTGGACCTTGGCGGGGCATGAGTGGATATGCCCGGGACCTTCTAATAGACAGTAAGACTGGCTGTCATGTCCAAGATGGTATTTCTGGCGTTAAACCCGCATCAGTGCCACGCGATTGACAACTGGCTAAGATGATCGAGTCTGCTTAGATCTAAGAGGAAAAAGCAAGCGAAGAGGGTTTAAGTATGTGGAGAGGCTCCTCAGAGGTGGATCAGGGGCATCGTCTTTGCACTGCACCAACAGCCTTTCAAACGCAAGCCACCTGCGTGCTGCCAACCAACTAGGCTGTTTCGGGGCGCACATCAGCTAAAGCCTCGGTACTCGCACGAGATCCAGGTCAAGTCGGTCGACGGATGGTCTGACAGCCTGACAATACAAGGTTTGCGTGCTGAATCCGTACGGATGTCTGTATCCCTACGGAGTATCCGTGCAGAGTGTGAGGAATGATGATATTGAACCACTCGGAGCGAACTAGGGACTACGGCGATGTCGCCGGGGTTCGGCGGCGGACGTTATCCCGGGCCGGCCGTACTTGGTAAGCTGAACAAGCTGTGCAAAGACCCCACCCGAGACATAAAGCGGTTGGCTTGATCGGCCGGACGGAGACGCAGTGGCGGGCGCAGGGCTCGGGCGAGTAGTTCAATCTGGGTTAAGGAGCTGATACCAGCGCTTGCGGCGTAAGGGGACGATCGCTGATGACGATGCAGCCACTGATGGGGGTTGGACTGAATGCTCTCATGCTCCAGCGTCAGCGAGATGAGAGATGGGAGGCCGTTGATAACAGACCCATTGTTCGGCCCCGGATTGGGGTGCTTTGTCCGCTCCTTAAATCCGTCTTCTGTGTGGTCAACCCTGATCCTGGCCGCTTCCGCTCCTGCGTGCCCTGCAAGATTGGCGACGTTGAGCCAGGGGCGCATACGTTAGGTGGTTCAGAGATATTGCGTGCGTTTGATCTGTCATAAGCGTTATGTCTTCAAGCGGCAGGCTGGCATTGCCTTCGTTTTTGCTTTCTTGGACGCGGGGGATGCATATCCGTAGGGAACGAGGCGTATCGGTGCAAACTTGGATGTCGTTGAGTGCGGCGGCAGGCAAAATCTTCTCTAGCACAGATGTAAGCCGAGAAAACCAAGCAGGACATTGACCAGATGGTCGGTGCAATCCATACGTCCAAGGTGCCGGGCTTGCACGGAGACACCTTAATCGAAATCGGTTCGACTGCCGACGGCCAGGGGCAATGTGAAAGTGGGAGAGGGCAACGGCGCGCTGATGCTCAAAATGGTAGATAGGACTTCATTATTCTGGAGCCACGAGCTGAAGCGAGACGTCGGCTGCACTGGTCTGTCCAAAGTAGGACATCGCCCGTAGCTGATTGCCGGAACTTCTGCAGCAAAGCAAGCAAGTCGACACCATCTTGGACGGCCGAGTATCAAGAGCCCTGGCCCAATTCTCGCACATGACCAGCTAGTATTTGCCCGACAGGCCAGTTTTTACTAGGGACGAGCGGCGCAGGCCGGTCTACTGTGTAGACTAGACCGTCTAGTCCAGGAGGCGCGCATTGAAAGGCAAGGCAGAGTGAATAGGTTGATGGATCCCTCGGAGGCCGTGGTGTGCTGCATGCATTGAGATCTCCGCAACGGTGCAGCATCATGGCGGAGAGGTTGGCGAGTTGGCGGAGACAGGAGGGCTTGGAGGGCTTGGAGTGGCCATGATGGAATTACAACCAGAGCTGTCCAGGTACCTATAGGAGCCTGTAGTTCAGGACTAATCTATGACGGCGACTAGCCAGTCGGGCGTGCGATGCGAGATGAGTGCGTCCTCACTGGCTTCATGTTGGAGAGGCCACATGGGCTTTAGCTTGGGTCCCTCTATTAGCGTTGATGGTTGATGCGATGCAACGCGATGCCATGCCATGCGAGGCCTGCATGTGCTGCATATTTGAGTGCGCCCGCCCGCCCAACTGCAGGTTCAAGACAATTAGATCTGATATGTCGCTGGACTAATTAGACCAGACCAGACTTGGATGCTGCATACTGCGCATACTGAGGCGGCGATAAAAGAGCTTGGACACCTGTGCGGATGAGAACGAGCGGGGAGCAAGGTGGAAGGTCCGGTCCCTGAGATCCGCTCCGCGGCGTCGTAGGAGACAAAGTGCGCGGCGTACCAGTCTGCTCCACGGATGCTGCGGCGGCCAAAAAAGTGACAAGAGAGGGGGCAATTCTTGGTTTACAAGATATGGTCTGATGCTGATGTCTCTTAAAGTAGCGGTGGGGGAAGAGGTATGGAGATTCTCGTCGACCGATGCGCTCGAGATCCGTCTCTCTGACAACGACTTCAAGCTGGAGACTGGAGTTACAGGTCTCCGTATCCGTACGACTGCGTCAAGTGACGAAAAGTCTCCGGCGGCCAATTTTGTTTGCCTCTCTTGTCTCCCCTGTCGTTGTCGGCAGGAGCAGCCGCAGAGCAAGGCTAGCAAGCGGTGTTGTGTCGCATTGGAGGCTCGGAACGGCACATGAGCAGGACTAGTGCAGAGTCGCAAGAGTCAGGAACGACGGTGGCCGTTTTCTAGCTGATGTGATTCGATTTGCGAACCAACATAGGACGTTGTATGGAAATGGCACGCATGTGGAGGTATAATAGTGGCTGGCGTGTCGTTGAGAAGAAAACCAGCCCGTGGCACCGTGTATGGAGTACGAAGTGTTTCCGGAGTTGTACAGGAATGCGCTCGATACCAGAGCAGCGGTGATTGACGAGCTCCGGGTTAGGCGTCCAAGATGGAGGTGGGTAATGTGAAGTTGCAATGACATGCCACACACAGCCATGTATGACACAGGCTACGATCCGGCTCCCGAGATGGCGTCCTCCATTGTTGTCTTGCTCTCTGTGTTCTGACTCTTTAGGTAGTAGGCCTGAAACTGTACAACGCTGACTGCCGCCAACGACCGGAGCCGGGACGATAGCCGGTTCCTACTGGTCTCGGTGTCACGGCGTTCGAGTTTTTGGGGAAACAAACGGCTCGACCGATGACGCCGCAAAGTCAGCTAGGCAGTTGAGGTGGAGAAGCGGTGGCTGATAGGATGAAATGCGATGCCGTCTCAAGTCGATTCGATCTGATGGGAAAGTGCGCATGGCGTATGGGTTGACAACGAAAGCCGACGAGGACATCAAAGAAGCGGACGGTAGACGAGGCGCTAGAGGATAGTCAGAGACACGGCTTCGGGCGGATGGAATAAAAGCCAGTGAGGATGTCTGCAAACGGCGACGGGGTCGAAACGGCGCCAGCGTCATCTGAAAGCAGTCAAGCTCTTGGTGTCTATATCCCGTACAGTAAGTGAGTAAGGTATTCGTAGTCAGTACTGCGTAGGCCACAGGAATGTTTCTCCCTGGAATTGCGGCCTTGGTTGCGTGTGTGTGTGTGTGTCCCTGGAGAACTCGAGAGGGTTTGACGGGAATGACAGACAGGGGAGAGGTGGGTAGTGGACGGAGGAAAAGACCAGAGCTCGCAGCTGGACCGGGGCTGCTGCAGGGGCATAGCAGGGATGAAAGAGGGTGAGCCAGGGCCAGCATGGCTAGAAGAGGGCTAATGTGTTTCTCTTTTAGCGATAGAAGTCTTCGAGTGTTTCTGCCCCTCTACTGCGCAGCAAGAGGTCCTCTCGCGTCTCGGCGCCCCTCGGTTCCTGGCAGTGGAAGCGTCACGATGTGGACGACGCAGTCTCGTGGTGGAGCGACTCTAGCTGTAGAATTGCATTGGTAGCCAGTAGTCTGCTGATGCCCTGTATGCGTACGAATAGTCTCCGTGGCGATGGAACATGACCGTCGAGGTAGACAGGGCTCATCCATCTGACAGCGCTTCTGCCGTGTGTGGCGTGGCTCTCTTCTTCTTGTTCTTCCCGTTCTTGTTCTTCTTCTCCTATTGCCTCGTTTCCGCGTTTCCGCTTCTTCGAATTGCATGCACTCCGGGCTCTTTCTCTTTCGGTCCAGGGGCTTCCGAGGAGAGGTAGGGAGGTATCTCATGTAGATGGTGCGCCTAGAGATCCGAATGCACGGCATGATTTTGGGAGAGAGAGACGCAGTCGTCTACGCTGCTGGCTCGCAGACCGAGTCTCTCCATGTGTGTGCTGTCATAGCATAATGCAGAGTGACTGTATGCGTACTGTGGTGCAAGTTACTTAGAAGAGGATGCGTCCCAAGATGGTCTCAGAATAAGGTGAGGTCTGTCTGGAGAGAAAAAGATTCAGTCACTCTGTCAGTGTCAATGGCAGGAATGGAGCAGCGATACGTACCGTGGTAGGGTGGTATCCACTCTCGAATCCATCTGGTCCCGATAGCAGCGTGTCATTGGATGAGATGAGATGTCAGTGGAAGTGCCCCCAAGATGCAAAGCGGTCTCGAAGAAGGACGGGTCAGGGACATCCCCGTCCCTGCTCCAATGGTCCTGCCCTGAACCCGGTACTTGCGGGTTGCACTTGCCGTCGTTGCTTTGCGCAGGTACCGTTCGTTCCTTCCATTCTTTTCCCCTTCCAAGACTGGACGGCAAGACCACAGGGCACTTAACAGTCAACACAGGGCAGGCACGGCAGGGACCCGATTTAATTTTCATTTTTTCTTCTTCCTTGCCTTCCTCCTTGGCCCCCCCCCCCCCCCTGCGGAGAGCACCCTGTCCTTGACATCCCGACCGCGACCAGCGCCGGTACGTATCGAATGTACCTCAGAAGCAGTGACAAGCAGCGAGTATTTCTCAAGGTAACCGTCCCTTGACCTTGTGTCGTTCCACGCAATAAAAGTACCTGGTTCGGTAGTGTATTTTCTCCTATTCTACCTTTGCCTACCTACAATATGACATATGTACGTAACTACAAATGCGTCTACCTACGTCCGTACCTCTGCGTTGGAAGGGGGCTCTGCAGTCAGAGCCAACAAAGAAGACGCGGAAATGTGACAAAAGAGAGCGAGAGATATCTATGTCACTACCTACTGCGTAGGGAAGGAGGTAGTGACATGGAAGTAAAAAGTGTTTGCTACGCTACATTTGAAATACACGTGCGAGGCAGATGCGCATATCCACCATTCCAACATTTCACCCCCGATCCAGTCCCAGTGATTCCAGTCCAGTCCTTCCCGTCAAGTCTTCGCGTCTTGGTCTTGGGTCTTGGGTCTTGGACCTTGCTTGGTCTTGCTTAATTTCGCCTACCGCATAGTACGGACCGCTCCAGGACGGTGCGGTAAGGCATGGTCTCCGTATAGCCTCCACCTACGCAGTACTCTTCTACTTCTGCTTCTGCTTCTCTTCTTTTGCTCCGTTCTCTTGCTGCGCACTGCGTGTGTATGTACTCCGTACGTTATTCTCCTAGACTCCTGGTACCTTGTCGTCCGTCCTGCCTCCCTTCCATCAGTCAGTCCCCATCATCCGTCTCCTCTTTGGCTCCATGTCACTGCGGGTTGTGGACTGGCCCTCGCAGTGTCTCCCGTCTTCAGCGTGGAATCGTAATCATTCCCAGCTTTCTCCTTACCCACACCCCCAACATCCCATCCGCTTCATTCGCCGTTAATGACTACAATTTTAAACAAAAAGAATTGCTACCCTCCGCACCAGCAATCCAGTCTGCCTCTCTTCATGCCATTGTTCGCTGGCTCCGTCCCTGGAGCTTGAACCCCCTCCCTCAATCTCCTGCAGACCGCCTTCGTGGCTCGCCTTGGCCTTGCCCTTTTACCTTCGTAACGGATTCCCGTCCCCTTCACCACCTCACCCCCCTCCCCTCCGCCATTATTGGCGGCCCCCATCCACCACGACCACACTACTACCAGTCTACCACCACCGCTTACCTACCTACCTTACTTCACACACACACACACACCTTACACCTCTTTCTCTACTTTCCTCCGCCATCGCGCCTCATTTCTTCTTCTTCCTCTCCCAAGCCGGCCCAATCTCTGCTTCAACACAAACCGTTGTTTATTCTTCGCGCAGGTCAGGGGCGCTGGATCCAGAGACATCCATGGGAACAACTCACTGGTCCCTTTGTGCAGACCCGAGATACCGAATCCCCATCTCGACCCTGTAGACCTGTCCGTCATCGATCCGACCTTTTCTTCTGCTGCATGCACAGCGCAACCGTCGTCAACCCTCGTTTAGACTGCATCCCAGTCCTCCACCGCCGACGCCTGCATTCAACGTTAAGCATGCTTTTTTAATCCTCAACCTGATACCTTGGAGACCCTTCGAGTTCCTCTTTGGAGCAAAGACGGTGCCTGGATACGCCTTACTAGTCACAGCCCTTGCCTGAACCTCTTCCATCAGCCATGGAAACTTGCGAGGGAGTGCTCTTGATACCCCCTGATCGGGGCCAGATCTTGGGGCGCGCCATCTGGAAGGTATGGAATTGCATTCGAACTCTCTGCAGCATTGCCGTCCAAGAATCTTGTCTCTGACAGTTGCTTCTTCTTTCTAGCCACGATATGTTGTTGTGGGAGGCCGTAGTGTCTACAGAGAAGCCGTCACCAGTCCGACTTTCCCTCAAAATGCCGCCTCAACCCGCTCAAACGGGACCGGCACCAGATCCCAGCCGCGGACCCCTGGCAACGACGACTACTACATCTCCATCTTCAAGTCAAAGGTAAGGCTCAACATGACGGAGTTCTCTGGCCCAAACCTAAGCCACCTGAACTTGCAGGACGACTGGGAGCCCTCCTACCAATACCCCGTCAGCTCTGTCATAGACTGTCAGGTGCAGATGCTCGCCCATCGCAAGCAGGGGCCCGTTCTGCCCACCCTCGTTATCACCATCAACGACAAGGAAAAGAAGCGCCGTTCCAGTAGGGCTGCCGGCCTCATCTCGAGCAAAGAGTCCACTGCGACTACGCTCTGGTTTCGAACGCCTCCCGACGACCATCATATTAGTCTACACGAATGGGCCCGCTTTATTATTTCGAGAAAACTCCCCATGAGCCCCGAAAGCCCGGCGTCTCCCTCTTTCACCAACCCCTTCGCCCAGCAGCGTTCTCGAGATGTTGATTACTTCCCTCGCCCTCCGAGTGGGAACCCGAATCCCCGTGGCACTCTGCAACACAAGAACTCGACGCAGACATACTCAAGCCGAGACCGACCCATCACATTCAGCTCCGATTCCCCGAGTCTGCGTTCTAAGCGCAGCGATGTCTCGTCACCGACAAGTACTACCCATCCTGCTCATATGGGCTTCACCATCCCGGACCCCAACAAATACACTACTGTTCTCCCGAGCGACATCCCCTCGCCCGTCACAACGATGTCTATGAGCGACTATCAACGGAGCGAACTGATTGAGGGATGGACAGCGGCACAAGGACGTTCGTCTACCATCAGCTCACCAATCCGCGGTCGAGGCAGCGTCAGCTCAGGAGGTGCCCAACCTTTTCCGGGTGCCGATTCTAGCTCACCACCGAACCAGCGAGAGACGATCCTCGACCGTGCTTTCCAGCTGCGCTGCATCCCTGGCTCCGAACTCGAGACTCCGGGTGAAGAGAAGCTCACATCGCTGGCTCGATTCGATGCATTGATGCGGGAGGCCGACGAGAAAATGCGCCAACAGGTGAAAGAAGCACATGCCGAGAAGATTGCGATGCTCAGCGCATTCGATGTCGATGAGGACTCATCCGAAGAGGAGGCTGATGACGACGAGGAAGATGAAGACGACGACGAGCATGACGAATATGCACACGAGGCGGATGCCAGTGGCAATCGCCAAACCTTGATCGCGCCCAATGCCCAACGCGCCCTCGAATATCTCGCCAGTCGCCAAGAGGAAGCCATGTCACCGCGCTCGCCCGTGATGAGGAGCCCGCCTGCCAACTTTAGTATTCCCCTGCAGGCTCCTGCGCGGCCACACACGGCGCACTCCAAGATGCGGCCGGGTGTGACGCAAAGGACGTACAGCCAAACTCAGCCCATGGGCCAAGAGAGGCTCGATGTGCCAACCTCTTCATCCGGTAAGACATCCGATGATGCCAACTTCCGAACCAACGGGGAAAAGCGGGCGTCCGGCTCCAGCGCCAAGCGACTTAGCTTCAGCGAGTTCACCAAGCGTCTCTCGAGCACCAGCAGCTTACTTCTCGTCCAGACCAACACCAGCGGCGGGAGCAGTTGCGGCAGCAGCGAGTTCGACCCAAGTCCATCTCAGGTACCCAAAGGTACTTTGAACGCTAGGGGCGTTCCTCCGCGACCTCGAGACCTCGAGAGAGAGGAGCAAGAACGGCGCTGTGGATGGCGAAACAGCATCGGCTTCACCGAGGGCGGTATGATTTGATTCGAATCACTACCGCCTGCCAACCGCCATGATTACCTACCCTCTTTACTATTGTCCACACCGGCCGGAACCAACCCACATCATTATCCTTTCACCAAACCACAACCAACAGCTCAAACTTATACCCAACTCACGCCACAGCATAGTTGATATATGTTGTACGATTTTTGATCTGACGATACCATTGTTTGCATCTAATAACGACTTATGATCGGGGTTCACAGAACACGGACCTGGCGTTTGATATTCGTTCTTATTCTCTACGCGTTGATTTCCCAGTTGGAGGTTTACAGCATCATTTCGAGGAGGGAGGCATTCATCAAAGGAAGCAGCACCTCGACGTCAGAGACTCGAGGCCCGGCGGAGTCGACAGAGTCCCGTCGGTACACCAAGGCACTAGGCAAGCAATGTGTCGGTCATACCATGTTGCGGCCTGCCTTTTCTTATGTATATGGCTAGTGTTGTCGTCCGTTGTCTGACGAGGCGGGTACCACATATTTTGCAGGACGCTACCTACGAGTTCCTGACTTTTATTTCTCAACGCAATTTACGTTCAGATGGACATATAGAAATGTTGTAGTACAAAGTTGACGCGAGTGGATGATATACCAATCTATGAAAAGCATTTGAAATACTTCATAACATGTTCCCCTTACTGCCGCTGCTCTCTTGGCGTTGGCTTCTTTTTCCCCAAGATGAAAAACTCATCCTCCACAACGAGTCAACAATACCCAGTCGTCACCCACTGAAGAGAGATTGAAGCAGCGGTCAAACAGCCTCACTGACGTTCTGACAGTCATGACGTCCCCGCCCATTGTGGCACCGTTCATCTCAATTTCTGGCGCGCGACAACCACGGGCGATTCCCGCGAGATCGGCGTCGTCGCCTTCCTTATTCCCACCATGTTTGCGGGTTTCCCAGTGTCCACAGTGCCATAGCAGAAAAACCTCGTCCACCCAGGGGTCCCATATCGTCATGACAAGGAAAAACAGGGTCCTTTTTATTGGGTGTTCGTCTGGACTCTGCCGGGCGAACACTCCATCCCGACAAACACAATCAGTGGATCGGGACACCCCGGTCTTCCTCAACGGGCTCGGCAAGCCCCCCACTTCGGAGAGGGTCTGGAATCCTGGAAGGGGGAAAAAAAAAGGTACGTGGAGTTCAACGCCCCCGTCGAGACGAAAACCTCCTTTTACAGGCCTCTGACTCTGTGTCTCTGAGGCCTTGTTTCCGACGAGAGAGAGGGCAGAGAAAAATCAGGGTAAGCAGTATCCGTAGTCCCAGTCGCCACTCCCACCCCATTTGCTGACCTGTGGCATCGCAGGCCAGGAGCCCTGGGAAGAGGAACCAGGGGCGGGATGGAATCAGTCGAAAGGGCCAATGTCGGTGAATTTGACCTTGTACGGAATACGGATAGTCGTTGAAGAACTTTTTCTTCTTCTTCCTGATCAACATCCAAGTAATCTTCTCCACAACTACATCTGCCTGCCAACAAAAACTTACAAGGCACATTGGAAGGCAAAGGCAAACGGACCTCGGGCGCGCCCGAGCTTTTTTTTCTTCTTTCTTTGCCTTCTTCTGCCGCTCCCGGACCCCCCTTTTTTCCTTCTGGAACTTCCGTTGCTTGTGGAGTATATAGTTTTTTCTAGCCCTTCTAGAAGGGCTGCGTAACTACCGCAGGAAGACCTAGAGTATAGTAGAGTAAACCCTCGTGTTTAACAGAGTTCAACGACCGAATCGGCGGCACCGATGACAGGAAACAGGGAGCCGGCCTGTCTAGGTACCTACTGTGCTAGCGAGAGAGAGTAGACCACGCGTTGGCCTAGGCTCATTGGATTTCTGCGAGCGAATCTCGGGAGTTTGCGACGCTGTCACGACACCCAAGACATTTCATCATCCACCGTTCCGCGCACCGTATACTACACTACATACGACGCGAGCAAGGGGTGGTGGTGGTGGTGGTGGTGGTGGTGGTAATTCTTTCCGCGTCCCTTCTTTCTTTCTCCACAGCCGGGAATAATGGCAGATTTGCGAGCAACACGGCACCGCCCGGGAGTTACACTGCAAGAACGATGGGGGGAAAGAGGAGACAAGGGGGTCATGAGAGGGTACTAGGGGGTACGTAAGTCGTTCAACTGAGTCTTGCCCTGGACCGGACCGGGCAGGGTAGGGGGGGGGGGGGGGTTCTTTTCTGCGGACTGAGTGCGAGCGAGCCTACGGATACCACCTGCGGATACATACGCTTCCCTCCCCCAGTCGGGACGATCGAGCCGAAGCGGTGTGGAACTGCGGAACCTGCGGCGGTCGGCGCCGGCAGGTCTGTTCTTCATGGGTGTCATCAACTCCTCCAGCCAGCGTTGCGTGCATTGCGACATTATATACACGATTTGAACAATCATCAGCGATCAGCCAGAGACATTAGAAACGGAAAATGCTTTTTTGCTTTTCTAGTCCTCGATACTCGAAAAAGGGGGACGACGCTTGTCACCCATGCTAATCATCGAGCAAGCCTAAATCGAGTGTTTGCTCATGATATTTCCTCCACCGCATACGCCTAGCTGTGTTCCGGTCTCCGGTCTGGGTGAATTCTTCCCTTCCCAGCTTCCCACTGTGTCTTCTTAACGCTTCTTTCCTGCGTTTTTTTTGGGCATCATCCGCAATCATTCAAGTATTCATCCTATTGGAGTCTCTGCCATCCACCATGGGCCGTGGACCACGCATAATTGTCCGGCAACCCCATTACACCGCCTGGTAGCACCTCCTATTGCAAGTACTGTTGCAGTGCTTGCTGCTGCTCTGGTGTGAGACGTGTGTTGACAAAGTTGACAATCGCGCCGTTGTGGCGCTGGTTCGCGGAACTAATGTACGCGCTGACCCAGGGAGCCACCGCCGTGACCTCTGGGTAGTCGTCACGCGCGATCGGCCGGCAGGTGTTGAGAGCAGTGTAGGACAGGCCGAAACCGATATCATCAACGTCAGCTTCGTTAATGAGCTCGTCACCCAGACCGGCTGACACCACCGGAGGGTTGACCAAAAGAGCAAGAAGGATCTTGCACGTGTTGGCCCAGCCCTTGGCGAACTTCTGCGCAAAAGCCTGCGACTCGCAGAGAGTCTTGGTAAGACTGACTACTGCGAGTTTACGGTCGACAGGTCGGGCAAGTTTTTCCGTCTCGGCCAAGACAAACGGAGGGTAGACCTTGGCGAAGATGCCCTCTTGAATCTTCTCAGCGTGCTTCATGAAGTAATCAGCACCGAAGCCAGCCTCAACTCGGGACGCCACGAGGTGGAAGAATCGAGCGAAGCGAAGCTTGAGCGAATCCGGCGGGTTGCCCTGTAGCTTGGCGAACAGCAGGTTCAGGATAGTACCAAAGTACTGATCAGTAACCGCACTGAGTCTAGTTAGTATGGAACTTTCAAAAGGTCTGTTGGTAAGGAATCGACATACGGCTCGAATGACTTGACGACTGCCTCCAAGATGTCAAATGCGTACAACTGGTACTTCTTGACAGCAAGGAGACGCTGGAAGATGCCGAGAATCTGCTCCAACTTGTTCTCGGAGACAACGAAAGCGGAAGTTGCCGGGATGATGGATGACAGAAGTCTGGTGCAAGCTGGGACGTTGCCCTTGGTGTCCCACAGAGCCGGCTCGAGCAGCGGGGACAGGAAAGCCCTGTAATTGTCCGAGACCGCATCCGGAGGGCTTGACTCCAAGAGCTGGGCCAGAATCTGGAAAATGTACTGCAGGAACTCTGTACCATCGTTAGCCAAGTCATTTTCGTGTCACTGGTCAACATACCGGTAACGTCCTCAACCAGGATCTGGTTGAATGGCTCCCAAAGCTTCTGGTTGAAAAGCGCAGCGTGCGTGGATGAGGTATATCTGACGAGAGCGCCAAGGGCCTCGAAGTGGTAGTAGTAGAAGCGCGGGTTGCTAGGGTTCTGCTTGATCATGTTTGTGATGGCAACCAAGTGTGTCAGAACACCCTCAACCAGCGGTGCGGCACCGTCCTTTAGCACAATGAGAATTCTCATAACACATCTCATCAAGAACTCGTTCTCCTGCAGCTTGGCAGGGGTCTTCTCCTTCTCAATCAGCTTGAACAGATGCTCAAGCAAGTCCTTGGCGAACGGCTGGATGTCTTCGCGGGGGAACATGACCTTGCCCGAGTCGTCCGACAGAAATAGTAGACGCTCGACCGCAATCGCAGCGTATGAGTAGACGACGTAGTTGTCCGACGCCAGGTTCTGGATGAGGGGAGGGAACGCCAGCTTCCATTGCTCTTTTGTCAGTTGGCTGCGGAATGTGTGCAGGTACTTGATAGCGTCGACCTTGGAGATGGGCTCAACACCACCGCTGGCCATCAGGTCGGCAGCAATGTGTTGTTCGAAAAAGTCCACGACGTTGACCAATGAGTTGACCGTCTTGACACCTTGAGCGGCGGTAACGGATCCCTTGGCCGCGATGGAAATGAAGAGGTATACCGCCGTGTCCTTCGCCTTCCAGTCGGATTTGCCCTGCTCCAAGTAGTGGTTGATGTACTTGTAGACGACACCAGTGACGAGTTGCTCGTACTTTTCCTGAAGTCTTCTCAAGAAGTCGGTCGCGGATCGGCGTCTCGAGTCGGTGTCTGAGCCCTCCAGATCCCTGCGGATGTACTCGATAGGCTCATCCTCGAACAGCTCCAAATCAGACTCGCGCAGGGCAACGTTGGGCAGGATGACCTTCTCGACCACCTGGCCCAGGACGTTCTCATCCGCAAAGACACCCGAGTGCTGCGAGGTGCCGGCGACAGCGGTCAGGAAGTGCAAAGCCTTGCTGACCAACAGGTCGTACTTGGTCTCGGATCCTGTGCTGGAGAGCAGATTCCAGGCATTGGTAATGAAGGGCTCCGTGTATTTGCCAAAGTCCTCGTCGTACTTGAGTGTGTAGAGCTCCAAAGCCTCGCAGATGTCGGCCTTGACGGTATCGATGACGCTAACTTCGGTATCGTCGTCGGTCTCCAGGATCGGGTTCGTGTATGTCAGGTACTTGTGCAGCAGTTCTGAGATGGAGGCCAGGTGCTCCTCGAAAATGGGGGGCATGTCGTGGGACGACAGGTCGTAAAAGATCTTGATCATGAGGCTCAGGGACTCGAACCAGCTCTGGAGGGCATCCTTGTTCTGGGCGTTCTTTGTGATTTGCTCATCGGTCTGGACAAGCAGCTGCACAAAGGGTTGCGCAAATGTGCTGATGACGTGGTTGATCTCAGTATATAGCTCGTCTGTTCTGAAGAGAGGACGCCAGCGGACGAAAATGGAGTGGGCGACTTCGAGGACACCAATGTTGACCTTGGGATCGACGGGGGAAAATTTCGCGACGAGCTCTTGGGTCAGTGTTTGCCAACGCTCCCAGAAATCTGAATCGGCAATGATGCTGATAGCATCGCCGAGCTGGGTCTGGATGGTTGGTGGGCAAGAAATCATCAGCCCGATGAGCTGAGACTTGATGGTGTTCACCTCATCGGCGGGGAGCTTGTAGTTGCCATCGGCATCGACCCAGTTGGAGCGGATGAAGTTCTTGAAGGCCAAGGCGGCGGCTAGCCGGGTCTTGAGAGGAAGAGAATCTGAAGCGACAATGTTGAGGAGGTTGAGAGAGTATTGCGGCTTGGCTGCCTCTGCCTTGAGGGCTTGCTCGGCTGTTTTTCACGTTTGTTTATTAGCATACAAACAAGGTTGGCGGGGTACGAGGCAACGGCAACAGCAACAGCAATGGGACGGCGGTGGTGGTACCTTTTCTGTGAGTGCTGGGATCTAAAGTAGCATCCAGCAGCTGGGCAATGGTGCCCATTTGGGAGGCCATCTTGACAGAGTTCGCAACGTCGGGAGAATGTGTGGGTGAGGAGTGGCGGTGGAAGTTTGCTGTAGTGATGGCTTCTTTTTCCTGCGCTGAACTTTTTGGGATGGGGGGAGTGTTGCTGTGGGGGACGAGGCTGCCTTGCACCGTACCTTAGCTGACCTTATGGAAAAGAGATGGAAGGTGCTGTGGGGCGCTTTCCATCATTGGCTGTTGACAATGACAGACACTGACAAGCGCCAGCCAAAGGCGACCGGGAGCTTTGTCGGAAAAACCGCAGGGAGAGGTACCTATAGTCTGCCTGTACACAGGTAAGGTACCTTAAGATACGTATAGGTGGGCAAACACCTTGGCAAGCATGCAATTGGTCTGTGCGTTACAGGAGATGGAGAGACCTCAGGTAGGGCGGTTGGAATGAAGCATCCGCCAGGCTTGACGCAGAACGGCATAGAGACAAAGCTGCTGCTGAAGAAAGTGTTTTACCTTCCCTGCCTGAGTAGCTTAGGCCGGTGAGGGTTTTGATTGAATCCGGATCACACTAGGAAGCATCATGGCTCGAAAGAAATTCTGCCACATGCCCAACCTTTGCGTTGGTACGGAGTACTGCGCCTTTCACTTGTAGGGAACAGTAGTTGCATAATATCTCAGGATCTATAGACAGATGCATGGAGAACGGGAGGGATGGACAATGGGGCGCCTCGGCCATTGGATACCTGACTTATGATTTGGTCCCGGGCCGGTGCCGATTAATATGGGGCATGTCCCGGGGTGCCCCAAAGACTCCCGTCAATTATACATTTGACGCCGGCGCATGCCGTCACGGTCAAAGTAGTCCTTGATAGCTCTGCAAACGGAACAACATTGGTGCGAAACAAGCAGGATCAGCTGGCCATCCCAAGTGGGGCTACATCCTACAGGTCCCTTTAGCAGCCACGCAGTACCTGTAAGGTAGTAAGGTACCTGCAACGGGGGAACTGCACACGCATTCCAGGCCGTGTCGGGGGGACAAAGCAAGCCAACCTATAGGCTATGGTACCTAGGTCGAGGTGAGCGCCCACGAACTGTTGGTTCCTGCTGCAGGTACTTGCCGCATATTCTGCCCCCCCCTAAAAACCTGCGCACCTGCTACCTCCACCCCATGTGCCACCCGACTCATGGGATCAGCATTCCGTCAGCTTTTCCACCTCGTCACTTTTTCTACGACTTGCACCACCCGCCGAAACCTCCAAAGGCCCACGATGCGATGTGATGTCGTGATAGCGCATTAGCAACTCCCGCTACTTGGCACAACGGACACAACCCGATCAACCCTCAACCCTCACACCCGGCACCAACAACAACTCTACGAACCAGGTCCGCCGCACCGCGCCACTGGCACTGGCATTGTTCTCTCGTCAGCTCCCGTCGGCAACCATTCCGAGGTCCTCTCTTCCCGCCGTTTCGCTAGCTCTCGACTGGTTCCATTTGCGCCGGGGGCCTTGCTCACCCTCACACGCTTTGCGAGCCCGCCCCCTCCACCTCCCACTTCCACTTCGGGACTATCGACTATCTGGCCTGCCTGCAGCTCGCCTTGAATGGGGTGCATCAGACCGTGGCGCCTCCCTGATTGCCTGCTGCCACCTTTCCAGCTGATCTGAAAGCCATTTTGCCTGTGAGTAAGGTGGTCGTCCGCAAACACCATACCGTTGCTGTTCTTCCTCACCATCGACAAACCGCAAACTGTGGACCACCCAGAGACTCGCATCCTCATCATTCGCACCACCGATGACAGCATCAACCCACTTTCGCTATCAGACGCTTCGAGCCGATATGAAGCTTGCTGCATTACAACATAGCTAACATGCTCCGTCGCCTAGTCTCGTCCAAAAGCGATCACCCCGAGTCCGATCAAACCGACGAGCACATGTCACCTTCGCCAGGAGATGCGCCCTCTTCGCCAGACTCGAGTCGCCCGAGCGGCCTAGCGAGCGTTTTCAAGGGTCTGACCGGCGCCAAACTGACCAAATCCCCTCCGCCGAGCCTCAAGTCCGCTTCCTCAATCCTGTCACCCATTGCCGACCACGTCAACGCTACTCGAACAACCCTTAGCGGATGGTCGCCGAACCATATGGAGTCCTTGCAGGTGCTGAGAAACGGCAACGGCTCCGTTGGAGAACGGGTTGCCGCTGCTAATTCACTCAGATTTGCCGTCGCGGAACACCCCATGAACCCAGTGCTAGAAATATGGGATGTTGGAAAGACAATGATTGCGTCCAACAAATCAGATGCGGAGCGAATTGCTGGCTGGGAACTTTTGTCAGAATGCGTCAAGCACAAGGCCTCTACCGATCTGGAGCGTCAAAGTTTCTTTGAAACTCTCAAGGCCCCGGCTCACGCCAACGACTTTCATCTGCAACTCGCTGCCGTTGAAGACCTCACTGCCCACGGCCGCGACTTATCTGGGTTCGACTACCAAGTCATTCCACAACTTGAAGTGTGGCTTCGCGAAGCCTACCAGGCAGTCAAAGCGGCAAGAAAGCAAGCTAGCCGTGATGCCAAGAAGAATGCTGGCAAGGCAAGGTTCTCTGCCGCTGGAGAAGAGAAGAACCTGCACCAGCTCTTTAAATTCATCGGCGACATTATCAAGTTCAGCTCCAACGTGGCCAACGAAAAGTCCATGACTGATCTCATGAAAGTCCTGGTCGCCGTTTGTCTTACCACGACCATCGAAGAGGATCTGAGAGCGTCCATCACCGTCATTGACACCATCGTAACGTTCGGCGCCTTGCCCACTGCAAGCTTCAAGGAGTGCGTCCTGGTTCTGGGTTCCATTTTCTGCCTCGTACCGAGCCTGTCCAAGGTCGCTTGGCACACAATATCCATTCTCCTGAAATCGCACAACGGCCCTGCAGCAGTGAGGGTGCTTGTAGACCTACTACGGAATCTTCCAGCGGATGGAACCAGCAAAGGGAAAGACACGAGAGATATTCGGGGCGTGTTGGCTGTTCTGGAAAAGCTGCTGACGAAAAGCACGGAGAAGGGATATCCGCCCGTGCCTTTTGCACTCCTCCTTGATGGATTGGTCGCAGCTGTTCACAGCACCGACTCCGGCCGAGTTCACTGTGCTGTTCTCAAGCTGATCAATTCTCTTTTCCGGGATGGCGCCGGCAACATCCACCATCTGATCATTGAGGAGGATTGGTCGACACTTTTAAACATTGCCGCAGAATGCTCCAAAAAGGCACCGTCGGGCATTCTAGTCAACAGCGAGATGGTTGCCCTCGCGAATGAGCCGGATCGTCCAGATGGCGCAATAGGGATCGAGTTGCTGAAGCTCATTGCGCGCCTGGAGGAGTTGGCCGCGCAAAAGTCGGGTGATTTCATTCCGCGACAGATCATCATAAGATTCTTCATCGATATCCACACTAGACTTCCAGACTCGGCGGCGCGCTGCGTTCTCACCTACTTCCAGGAATTCAGATGCTGCTCGCCTTCGGACTTGCAATGGGAGGAGAATCTGGCTTTGGTCCTTAAAGAGTTCTACGCAAACAGGAGTCGCAGCTCAGAGACCCGCCTACTATCTCTCCAGGCCGTAACGGAGTCCTATGATATGCTGGACCTTATTGGCGAAGGGCTTGGCGACGACGACTGCGTTCCGAATCTGATCAAGGACCTTCTCAACAATATCGCCGATGAAACCAACCTTCTGGTGCTCGAGTCTGTAGTGGCTTTCATGGTTTCTGTCGCCGTCTCCTCGGATTTGGAGCTCTTCAACTACATTACGGATACCCTCAGAACAATTGTTGTCAATGATCGTCTCTTATCGCCCATCGCCTCGTCTGCGTCTCGCCCAACGACTCCTGTTGGTGGCGAAACAGTGACTCCTCCCAAGAGTTACACGTCTTCCGGAGTCGTGACAAGAGGATACGTCAAGTTATTCATGCGTTGTATGAATTTGGACGGACCCAAGACCCTCAAACTCTTTGACACACTGGTCAATATCGCGAAAACGAACCATTGCAAGACTGATGCCCGGCTGACTGCCATGAAGCTACTCTTCCGACTCCGAGCGGATTGGGCAAATCGAATTTTCCTGATAGGCGACACAGAATCTGACGGTCTCGCGGCAGCATTGCTCCACACAGCTTCTTCTCGGGCAAAGAAGCATTCTGAAGACGCATCTCAACCTTCAAGACCTAGCAGGGCCGACATGGGCGCTGTCTCCCGATCTACGAGAGGAATATCCTTCAGTAGCTCGGGGACCCAAGAGAGAGTGTTTCCGATCCGCTCCGCCAGCGGGGCAAAATCATCCTATCCGTACAAACAACTTTGGGCGCTGCCTGACCCTGAGGCATTGCCCGAGTCCCCATCGGCGATTGCGAGCCCTATTTTGGTATCATTCGTCGAGGACCTAGAGCCGGAGGCCACCGAAGAAAGCGAACCATCCGCCGTGGAGACGAAGCAGATCGCATTGAACATGGACTCTTGGCTTGACACGATCGTTCGCATCATTGAAAGCGGCAGTGAATGGGAGATCTACAGCATGGTATTGGTTCATCTGCCCTCGCAATTGACCAACCACGCCATTTTCCGCAGTGCGGTGCCGCAAATTCAAGAGCTTCGGCGAGTAACATGCGAGCAAATCAGGACGAACAACTTCCAAGAGCCGCCAAACTCTACAAGCCTGCGACGCGCTGATGTCGCTATCTGTCTATTCCATACCTTGACAATGATTCTCAGCTACCACGAGTACTTCCAAAAGGAACACGAGGACGAGATTGTGCAAGCATTTGTCAAGGGCATTTCGACCTGGGAGCGGTGCGCAAAATATTGCATTCACGCGCTGTCAATTTGTTGTCACGAGCTGCCCCTATCCACCAGCAAAATGTTGGTGCAGATGTTGCAGAAGATGGCACAAATCATTACACAGCCTCACGTCGCAATGCACATTTTGGAGTTTCTCGCTTGTTTGAGCAGAATGCAAAACCTCTATATCAACTTCCGAGAAGATGAGTACCGCATTGTGTTTGGAATCTGCGTTCGCTATCTCCAGTACGTGCGCGACAAGAAGCAAACCCAACGAGGCAGCCTACACAGCGAAACAGCAACACCGACGGGGTCCACC